CTCTGCTCCGCCCCCAGCTCTCCCTTCTCCGCACGTCTAGGTTTCCCTCCAGTTTGCACAGGAGCCTGGGGTGATGGCTGGAAGCCCAGGGCACCGCTGGAAGGTGGTGGAACTGGCCAGACACTGTGCAGCGGCAAGGCCAGGCTGCTCCAGGATCCGAGGGCCGGAGACAACACAGAGCACCAAGCTACTGCCAGCTGCCCGGGCAAGTGAGATGAGGGGACAGCCGTCAGGGGAAGCTCCCACCCCGTGGCCTGGGCTGCTGTCAGAGTCTCCTGGAGCCCGCGTCCTCACCTCTGGAGAAGCACAAAGCTTGCCGACCTCCTCGCCGCACTGCTGGGACCCCGAGTTCAATGCAGGGACGTTTGAGTTCTCAAGAAAAGCAGCCACTGGTCCTCTCCATCCGGGTACCTGCCACCCAGGTGTTCCATTACCAGGGCTTTGCTTAAGTGACATTTATCATGCCCTCTTCAAAAGCATGACGTGCTCAAAGACAACGCCGTGGGGCGGGGGCAGAGCAAGAGGTTACTCTTTGTAGAATCAATGCTTCATCAGTAGCTTATCTTTCAGAATTATGTTCTCTTAAACATGAATATGAAAGAAATGAGTGATATAATCAGGTATTACTAGCAATATGGCATTTACTATTTTGTAACGTGAAAGAAAATAGCCCCTGTTCAGTCATCACAAGTTGTCTCCCTGTGTGTGTGGTGTGTATGTGTGGTGTGTGTGGAAGGGGTGACTGTGGGGGAGTGGAGAGTTGTAGGGGGCGTGGTGTGTGTGTATGGGTATGGGATGTGGCATGTATGTGGTGTGTACGATGTATGGTGTGCATGGTATGTGTGTGCTGTGCAGATGGTATGTGTGGTGTGTGTACACAGTATGTGTGTGTGTGTACACAGTATGTGTGTATGTGCGGTGTGTGTGATCTTTCCAGATCAAATTAATAATTCTGTCTATTAATCTCAAAAGAATGACTTAAACTGTTTTTTCAAACCATTTGGACAATATTTATATGTAAGCCATCATATTATGAAAGTTTTCAATAATTTAAAAAAATCAACTCTTAAAGTTTTACTTTACACCAAGGAATATTTTAAAATCGAGAATGAAAACAAACGTAATCAATCACACCATAATACAATCTCAAGGCTCTCTCGAAATTAACGTGGCTGATGACTGTTCAGTGTGACCGCTGCCCACAGTAACCAAAGGGGTGTTCTGCTAAGAAAAAGAAAATGTAAGATATTTTGTAGACACCAAGACACCAAGTGAAGTGCCTATAAAAATATAAATTAAGAAGAAATTTTAGACTATGTGCAGTTTATAGAGACCATCTACACAGAGCAATAGAACATGTATAAATAAACGAATAATTTATACCACCCTAAATATCATCAGATTTACAAATGAAATAACCAAAATAATTTTTAAAGAGTTCTTATAAAAACAAGGCCATTGTTGCAAGAGAAGAATAATCCAGCACAGCAGGAAATAATCCAGTGGTTCTTGGACTGTCAAACTCTCCAATAGCCAGCGTGTGACTTGGGCTGTCAGTCGAGATGGGCCCTGTGCAGACAGGACCTGCGGGAGGCGTCACCGGTGTTTCTGCCCGGCACCGCTGACTTGCTCCCCTCGTCTGATGGTGCTCAGTGAACCCTAAAACACACTGCTTCTCACTCAGGCCTCCGATTCCTGCCACGGGCACTCAAGTTGGTGCTAAGTATGGTCACTTCTTATCCTGATTTGCATCTGCAGTGTGATGTACTGTAAAGGGGAGCCCTTCTTTTGGGGACCCCTAGAGTTGAAGGTTCACCCACATGCAGTGTTGCCTCCCATCAGGCAGGTTCGAGGCTGAACCTCAAGGCCTTGTCTGTCTTCAGACAGTGTTTTACTTCTGCCGGTGGCCATCATGGAACTGACCCCAACTCTTCATGTCTGTCTCTCCTTCCTAAACTGCTTGCCCTGCGGACCTGGGGATGTGCCTCTGGGGTGTGTGTGGGCCCCTGCATATTGCCTTTGAAACCTGCAAACGATCAGCAGCAGCCCCACGGGCACTGGGCTCCTTGCCGCTTGGATTCTCGGGCAATAGAATTGGACGGTGGGTAGCAGTGTGATCGGAACTCTGTATTTCTATCAGCCATTCAGGTCCAGATTTGAAATAGTTCCCACATGGAATTGTAATAAAAGTATCTGTTGTTCTTTGTTGCTGGGACACAGTTTTTTTGTTCTTCCCCTTTCAAGTCACCAAAGTAAAAGCCAATGTCAACTGTGGTGGAGGGGGCAGGTACAAGGGTGTTTCAATGAGGCCCCGAACTTCAACACAAACCTCGAAGCTGTGTGTCCAGCTTCCTCATTTGTATCACCGAACACTGTCATCAGCCACAGACAAGTGATGGCGTGAAGGACAGCAGCCCGCTCCGAGCTTCGGATTCTACTGCTACTCACAAACGTGGTCCGTTTAAAAATTTTATATCCCTCATTCATTGAAATTACAACCTGCTGTTCTAATCGCTTGATATTGCTAGATGATCAAAAGCCACCAGACTGCCATGTGTTACAGTTTCCACTTCCATGTAATTGAACTAAGTTGAAATATTTTTGAATAATAAATCTGTGTTTAATATCCTAAAAGTGTCTGTAGGCAGGTATTTCTGTGAGGAGTGAAATCTATACTGTGGCACATGAATTTTCCAGGAAACTAAAACCATTTGCAGGTTTCCCTTAATTCAGAAATAAATGTAAATCAAAAAGAATAATAAGAAGTTCTTTCCAAAACCCAAAGCCCTTAGATTTTACAACTGATGTACGGAGATGTTAAAAGATGGCCCCTTTCTTTCTACCAGAGATCTTTAGAAGCAAGGATACCAATAAAACTATTCACAGATGAGCAAAAGGACTACATTAAGGCTTTTTTTGTTCAGCTTTGTGTTTTTTGCAGGCAGGTATGTTGGTGTTTTACAGTTAACATGGGCAATGTGGAAATGTACACCAAAAGGAGGGCACTGCACCCTGTGAAGCAAAAACGTGCCCAAGAAAGTGTCTTTCCTGTGGGGTTTCAAACTTCCCCAGGGACACCTGAGCTCATGTTCCCATGACTCCCCTGTTGACGGCTGAGAAAGAACCAGATGAGACACGGCACACTGTCCAGCATGTTATGCACTCCAGGTCACTGCAACCCTTTAGCTGAGTCGGAACAAAGTGACCCTAAGCAGCAGAAGGCTCTGGGCAAACCCACCCAGCTCTCTGACTAGTCAAGCAGCTGCTGCGGGGGTGTCCCAGCCCACAGCACAGGACAGGCGGCCTGTTTCAGGGGCCGGCAGTCCCCAGCCACATCGGGCGGTTAGAATGGATATCTGCCGTCATTCCTCATGCAGCAAGAGCAAGCACTTTCAAGTTGAATGATTTTTTTTTTTTTTTAAAAGAAAAACTTTAAAGGCAAAAGTTTGAGAATTTTCTCTCCATTGACAAAAGACCCACTTTGTTTGACACGACAGGTCTAGAAACTTTGCCCAGGTCAACTTGTCTATTTTAAGTGTAGGTGTTTTGTTTTTGTTTTTTTGGAGAGAGCAGTTACACTAACACACTGGAGTTAACGTATCCCAGCGTCACTGCTTAAACTCAAAGCTGTCGGAGTTTTTTGTTTGGTTTGGTTTGGTTTGGGCTCCTGGTTTTATATTTTAAAGAAGAATATTCATTTACTTTTATAACAAAATTCACCCAGATGTGAATATTTTATGCCAATCTACGTCCCTCTTTAATCAATTTTAGAGCCAAGATAAAGATAAACTAAAAAGCAGCCTTTGAGGCCCCATTTTTAACGCCGATGATCACATTCCTTTGTCAGTACTTTTTAGGTAGTGAAAGGTAATCCACAAAGTTAACTGTTTCTTTTAATGTTTTGGTTCCAAAATTACTGAGAGACAACATTCTACCTGAGGATGTGAATTTGCTGAATTTTTAAACTGGCTCTTAGCCAGTGTGTACAGACCAGGTGTCCTGCAGGTGTCTCAGTGGGCCACATCATGGGGAGAGATTTATCTCATTGCTTTTTAAATAAAAAGTCATGCCTGGGGGTGACAGACTAAAAAATGCACCTCTGATCTGTCCCCCTGGTCTGGATGAGATTTGTCCAGTTGTAGCCAGGTACTGCAATAGCTCCCTGGGCCCTGAAGGCAGGACAGAGAGTGGGGGGCCAGTTGGTCAGAGCTGGGTATTTATTACTTATATATCACAAAAGACTTGCATAAGGGAGGAATTTTATAGACCATATCAGGTGTAGTTTTGTAATTCTTTGTGTTGGAGGAAAAATCTCCTTTCCAGACTGTGACTTCAGATTCGGTAGCTCAGCCTCATTGGTTTGTGTAACTGGGGAGGGGGAGGCTGGGGTGGGGGCGCAGTACCAAATCCACCCCCCCACCCCCCACCCCCCCGCCGCTGTCAACCAACACCTTCAGGTATAAGGAAAGGCAGACACCACAGAAACCCTTGCTGGGTGGGAAAGTACAACCTGTCTTACATAAAGCAAGACAGCATCTGGCCTGCGCCACCGGGAGCTGGACATTCTTGCTGTGGGGAGGGAACCACCCCCCGGCTCCCGGGGCAAACACGCAGGGGTAGTGGCACCCCTAGCCTTCTCAGCACAGGGCTGCCCAGTTCTTCCGCGTGTGCCCACTGAGTCCTAGGTAGGCCTGGCCTACAGTTCTCCGGCACAGGGGCCCATGCCAGAGGGGCACTGGCCGGACACATGGCAAAGCGAGGTGGCGAAGATATGCCAAAGGAGTGGGGCCAAGGGAAACTGGGACAGAGTGAGGTCACTATTTTTAAACCTTCCCCCAACGGAATTGCAACGCGCACGTTTGCGGTGCCCTGTCCCCGCTGCCAGGAGAGCTGGCTGCGAAGAGTGCGCACCTCCTGGCCTGCAAGGGGACCCACCCGTAGTGGACGCGCCTGCTCCCGAGCTTGCCCACCCGGCGGCCCGAGCCCGCGCCCGCACCCACCTTGACTACGTAGGTGACTCCGGCCCCCAGCACCTGGTCGCTGGCGGGGGGCGCGCGGGGTGGCGGCTCGTCACCGGGCCGGCCCTTCCTGGCGGCGCGCATGGCCGGGACTCGGGGACCGGGGGCCGCGCTGCCGTCCGGGGCGGCCAGGCTGGGCGCGCTGCAGCTGCCCGAGAGCCGCGCGCCCGACCGCTCCCTGGCCGCCGACAGGCCGCGGAGGCCCGAGCTGGAGAGTTTCAGGTGGGACACCTTGTGGAGCAGGTGACCAAGGCTGCCTGAGCCATCGTCGGGCGCCCTGCGCAGCGCGTCTCTGGACACCAGGTAGGGGGCCGCCGCGGGGGCCGCGCGCGCCGCCGAGACCTTGCCGCCGCCGCTCACCGACAGGTTGTGCAGAAGGTCATCGACCGATGTCACCGAGTCATTCCTGAAGCGGTTGTATTTGGTGCGTGGAAGCATGCCCCTCCGTGGGCTCGCCGCATTCGCCCGGGCGCTGCAGGTGCGGACGCGGGCGCGGGATGCCGCGCATAGCAGGCGAGCCGCGGTCCCGGGGGCAGACTCGGCGGCCGGGACGGAGACAGGGTCCGGGGTGCGGGCGGGGGCGCCGGCCTCCCAACGCTAACACCCGGAGCTGCCGCGGCCGCGTAGCCCCGACCCCGGACGCGGCTGCCGAGGGCGGCACGCTCGCTTTGCAAAAGTCATAGTTTCCTCTGATGAGCGCCCCAGCTGCTGCTTGGGGCTGCTCACAGCAAAAGCATGACTCACTCCGAGAGGAGACCCTTTCTCAACAAAGGCTCGGTGAGCGCTGCAAATCACTTCCTGTAGGGAAAAAAAGAGAGAGAGAGAAGAAAAAGAAGAAAACCACATACACCCACTAACAGCACACTAGAGCCAATCAATTCTCAAATTTCCTTTTCTACCTTCCAATCTTTGCTTTTTCACCTCCCCGTCCTCCTCACTTAGCATTTGCGCCAGAGGTAAATCCAGTTTCTTCAGATGATCAGAGGAACTTTCTGAAACCCATGATCCATGCGAGGGTTTTCTCTTCCCCCTCAGCCCATCTGTGGGAGCCTGTAAGTCTCTGACAGCGCAGCGTTAAAATGTGACGAAGGCTTTTTAAGAATAAGATCTCCAGCTATCCTCATGAATTCTGACTTGGAAAGGAAGTAGGAATTGTTAAGTAACACACACGCACACACAGAGAGGGATATTCACTCCCAAGTGAACATAAAATACCAGTTTCCTGGGTTTTTCTTTTCAAATCAACAAAGCAGCCATGACAAGTGTCTTTGTGGCAATGCAGTTCCTCAAAAAACCAAAAAAACAACAAAAAAAAAAACCTCAAAAAAATTTACATATGAACGTCTGCAGAGAACCAGTTAGAATCTCTCTGCTAATTTACAGCAGTCTTTCTCAGCCCTGGTTTAAGTTGAAAACCTACTTCCAAAAAAAGAAGAAGAGTGTTTCTTTGATGAATGGCAACAGGCTCCAGAAATCCATTCCAAAAAAAAAAAAGGTCTGTGCTGGAAGCTTTATTCCAACCGAATGTGTTCAAGCTCTGGAAAAATGCCTAAGAAACGCTACAAATACATGTCAATGTCCCTTCAGTTGCGGCTTGCAGTCCTACAGTAAGGGGGGAGGATGCAGCTGCTCTCATTACACATCAAATCCGCAGGGGGAAAAAATGCCTTCTTTTTGAGGCTCAGACTCAGGCTGCAAGAGAACCGCACAGGCCTCCTTCCTCTCAGAAGAACAGCGCATTGGCGGCGCCCAGAAGGTCTGCAGGGCTCCAACCCATGACCCCTGGCACCGTTTTCGTCGCACTGATACAGCCTGCCCAACACAATGACCCGTTCACTCCCTGTCCAAGTGTCCAGCTCCCTCTGCAGACAAATGAATTTACCTCTAACACGTTATCAGGTCACCCTGAGTCTTCTCACACCCACGACTAGACATGTGACACATGAAGCACCAGGCTTGAAGAGTTCTATGGAGCAGCTGGAGCCTGTGCCACACCGGGCGGGACAGCTGCTGGCCGCGGGAGCGCGGGAGAGCCGCGGCTGCCAGCCCAGGGCGCAGGCCTAGGAGCGCAGGCGGCTGGCTCTCATCTTTTCCCGTCCCCTTGCTTGCATAGCAACAGCAAATACACACCCCATAGATGACTGGGATGGTTATCAAAGCCCCCCAAAATCTAAAGCGGAAATGCCCTATCATCCCCAAACCGTGATCTTCAGACAAAAACAGCGCGATGTGAATGAAATGCTGTTTGTGTGAATGAAAGGGCTAGCGAGGGAGCCAGCGTTTCTGTGAATGAAGCAGGGCCTTGCAGCCGGTGCCAGGCAATCCCCTGGTTCCAGGGGCTTCAGCCAATGAGCAGCCGCCGCGATGACTCATTCAACAAAGCCTTGCTCAATAGTGGAAGGTTCCATTTCAATCAAAGGCGGGATCTTTCATCCAACGGCAGTGTGGGAAAAAAAAAGAAGAAGAAGAAGAAGAAGAAAGCCATCTGATTACAAAGATGCAGGGAGGAAGGGGCCGCCGTTACGCAGAGAGGAAAAACTAGTTTTTCAAGGAAAATCATAAAGCACGGGTCAGGTACGGCTGGGAGCAGGACTGCCCTCTTGGAGGTGAGTTGTGCCCCCAAACTTCCATTCAGCCATTCATTTACATCAAGGAGCAACCATGAATGTGCCACTCGGCTCAGCGTTTATTATGAATGTACAGTGAAGGCACATTCAAAACCCAGGCACCTCGCCCTGGAATCTTTCTGTGAAAGGAATATAGAACACGCCTGCACTCTGAGTCTCCAAGAAGAAAAAAATCCAAAGCTACACCATTAACCCTTCAGCCAACAGAAGATTTATTTCTTTTATTGTGATGAGGCAAACGGAGGGAATTGGCCATTTTAAAATATAAATAGCAATATGAATGTACTACCTGTAAAAAGATATATAATCAAAGAAGGCAATTAATAGCCCAAGAATACAATAGTACAGTGAGTCCTCACTTAGCAGGGCGATGTATCAGCGTTTTAGAACATAGATGAAAAGCAGAAAGAAACCCAAAGGCAGCTCAGCTCCAAAATAGTAGCTGCCAGCCCAGCCCAGGAGCCCACACCCCTCCCTCCCAGGACAGCGCTGTGGTCCTCCTGGGGGTGTGCCTGCTTATTTTAGAAACAATCCTCAAAGCCCGAGCATCTGCTTTTTCAGCCTGTGACAGCTCAGAGATGGATGATAGATGAAATTTTCATAGTCTGGCAACACAAAGGAAACAGCAGAAAGGAAACCATTATTAAGTCAGCCTTGAGACTCAAGAAAGCCAGGCAGCCTGGGTCACCTACAGTAGCCTTTCTAGATTATTGTAGCTTTTCTTTTTAAATCTATTAACTAAAAAGTGTATTGGGTCCAGCTGGTGTGGCTCAGTGGCTGAGCATTGACCCATGGACCAAGAGGTCGCTGGTTCGATTCCCAGTCAGGGCTCATGCCCAGGTTGTGGGCCCGAATCCCCAGTGGGGGGCATGCAGGATGCAGCCAATCAATGTTCTCTCTCATCGATGTTTCTATCTCTCTCTCTCCCTCTCCCTTTCTCTCTCTCTCTCTCTCTCTAAATCAATAAAGAACAAAAAAAAGTGCATTGGTTTTTGCCCAGCTAATGTGGCTCAGTGGTTGAGGGTTGACCCATGCACCAAGAAGTTGCCAGTTCAATTCCTGGCCAGGGCACATGCCTTGGTTGTGGGTCAAATCTCCAGTGAGGGTCATGCAGGAGGTGGCCAATTGATGTTCTCTCTCATTGATGCGTCTATCTCTCTTTCCCTCTCACTTCCTCTTTCTAAAAATCAATAAAGAAAAAAAATTTTTTTTAAGTGTATTGGTTTTCTGTTGCTACCTTAACCACACCATCAGTGTTCTAAAAGACATAACTGTGTTACCTTCCAGTGCTGTAGGCCAGAGGTCCAACACAGGCCATACTGGATAAAGTTCAGGGGTGGGAAGGGCTGCGTCCCTTCTGGAGGCCCTGGGGAGCATCCCCTGCCTGGCCTTGTCCCACTCTGGAGGCTGCCTGAGGATGGGCCAAGAGCTGGCCCTGGGGAAGATGCTCTGCCCCTGGGGAAGATGCTCTGCCCCTAAAGGTTTCATTTGAGCAAGATAGGCAGAAAGTCGAAAATGAGCATTATAACCTAGCCCAGTGCTATGTGAATGTTTCAGTGTGTGTGAGATGCAAGCACTGTCCAAAGTGAGCGTGGCCTGAAGATGCCAGGGTGACTTCAGCAGAGTTTTGAGGAATTGCTAGGATCTCCCGGGCGGAGGAGGGTAAACCTCAGGAGGAGATGCTTTGTGGGGAACAGCTCAAGGCTGAGCCAGCTCAGCATTTCCCAGAATCCCTTGTAGATTGTTGGTTTAGAGGAAATGTTGGGAGGTCAAGCCACTAGAAGACCCCAGCCAGGAGGGTCCAAGAATAATGTGCAAATCCCTTGAGATGCACAGAGAGGCCTGCAGAGCTTGAGAATGTGACAGTCTGGTTTGCATTTTATGTTGGATACCTCGGTGGTGACATGGGACAGCTCTGGGGAATTAAAAGGGCAGCCGATAATGGTACAGGTGAACATGATGATAACTTGAAAGGAAACAAGATGGGGGGATGGAAAGGAGGATATGGGTTCAAGATACAGTGAGAAAGTACAATGATCTGGATGTCTGGATGCAGGGATGGAGGAGGGAAAGTGGGCAGTCTGGCTTGTCTGGAGACAGAGCTGAGATAGTTTAAGGTGCAAGATGATTTTTAGGGACCAATCTCCATGGGAGGCAGGAAGAGGCCACAGAATAGGCATAAGGAGAAGTGGGTCGTATGAAGCCACCCATGCCCCAGCCTGGTGGGGAGACTCTTCTATTCCTCTGGGGCCTGAAGGACCCCCTTGCTCCTTCATTCCTCAGTCCTTCCTTTTTCAGCTGCCCCAGGAATAGGGCCTCTAGTCCAGTGGTTTCTGCCTGAGCCCCCAAAGGAATGACAGTGGAAACCACCTGCACTCAAAATCCTGGTAGTGGCGAAGAGAGAAAGGAAGGGAGAGAGAGAAACATCAGTGTGAGAGGGAACATTGATCAGCTGCCTCCTGCACACGCCCTACTGAAGATCGAACCCACAACCAAGCATGTGCCCTGACTGGGAATCAAACCGGGACCTCTCAGTCCATGGGCTGATGCTCAATGCACTGAGCCACACCAGCCAGGCATCAAGGTCTCTTTTATAAGGCACTGATTCCACCCTCACAGCCTACTCACCTCCCCAAAGCCCCTCTCCAAGTAGGGTTAGGTTTCAGCGTGTGAATTTCAGAGGGACAAAAACATTGGTTTTAAGAGAAAATTAGTGATGGTTAATGAGCAGCAGTGACATTTGTAACTACTTTGTTTGAGCATTCCCATGTTCCAAGCAATGCCATCTCTTTTATTTATTTTTTTTAATACTCACCTGAGGATATTTATCTATTACCTTCAGATAGAGTGGGAGGAAGGGAGGGGGAGAGAGAGAGAAACATTGATGTGAGAAAGACACAT